CAATGATTTTAGAGTTATTGACAGATGCATTTTCATATGCAAAATTTCCTACTTCATTTTATGAGGCAAAAAAGGTGGTTTATAAGCTTGATCTTAATTATACCATGATAGATGTTTGCCAAAAAAAATTTCATGTTGTATTGGGGAGAAGATGAAAAATTAAAGACTTTTAAATATTGTAAGAAATCTAGATGGAAAGAAAAGGGTACTAGTAGCAAAAAAAAAAAAAATATCAACAAAGGTCTTACGATACTTCCCCTTGAAACCAAGGCTGCAAAAATTATTTATGTGTCCAAAAACAGCGAAGTCCATGAAATTACATGTTTTAAACAATAACCAGGATGAACTATTGAGGCATCCTAGAGATGCTAAAACATGGAAGAGTTTTGATCAACTTCACCCTGAGTTTGCTTTAGAACCTAGAAATGTTTGCCTTGGCCTTGCAACTGATGACTTTAATCCATATCAAACCATGAATAATAGCCATAGTATATGGTCAGTGATTTTAATTCCATACAATCGACCTCCTTGGGAGTGCATGAAGCAATCTTCTTTTATTCTTTCTATGATCATCCCAGGAAAAAAAATGCCAGGAAATAAGATAGATGTGTATCTACAACCTCTAATGAAAGAGTTGAATGAGTTATGGACAGAAGGTGCAGAAACTTATGATGCTTTTTTGAAAGAAGTGTTCATAATGCGAGTGACTCTCATGTGCACAATTAATGATTTTCCTGGACTTTGTACTTTATTTGGGTGGAATACTTATACTGGTTATGCTTGCCCAACTTGTAATTTTGATACAGCACCTTGCCGACTAAGACGTAGTAACAAATGGTGTTTCATGGGTCATTGAATATTTTTAGAAAGGAGTCATAAATTTAGATTAATAAAGAAACACTTTGATGGAACAGTTGAGGAAAGGGGAGCACCAAAATCATTATCTGGGTTAGAAATCATGAAACAACTTGATGTCATAACCTTTGATAGTAATCTTCAGTCAAATAGTAGACGGAACCAATGGAAGAAAAAATCATATTCTTCAATCTTCCTTATTGGAGGGATAATCTTTTACGACATAACCTTGTCATGCATATTGAAAAGAATGTGTATGATAATGTGTTGTATACTATGCTCAAAGGAGAAAAATCAAAAGATCATTTACAAGCTCGTCAAGATCTACAAGATATGAGGATAAAGGAAGATCTTTGGCCAGATGAAAATGGAAAATATATTCCTTTATTATTTATAATGACAAGAGATCAAAGAAAAATATTTCTCACCACATTAAAGAATGTAAAAATGCCAGATGGTTACTCAAGTAACATATCTCGTTGCATTGATGAACACTCTAGGATATTTAGACTCAGGATTCATGATTGTCACATCCTTATGCAACATTTACTTCCAATAGTTATACGTAATGTTTTACCTGATCATGTGATTGCAGTGTTGGTAGAGTTTTGCTCATTTTTTAAGCAACTTCTGAAGAAAATGTCAAAACATTAAAAAGTGTCATGCTTGCATACATCCAATGAAAGAAGGACACATTCCTCCTGAGTTGGGTGTCATGTTTGGTAGTACAAGTAATATAGTTGTAAATATTTATAGTTTGTTTTAAATGAAATTATATTATTTAATACTTGTACAAATTTCAATATCTTATGTATAATTTCTAATTATGCTTACATTATATGATCTTTATTTTATAGGATGAAGAGAGTGAACAAGATATGTCAACACCACAAGGATAATCTTCTTTAGATAATAATTTTCATAAAGTTTGACATTATATGTAAGTATTTCATATTTTGTGTTAATAGAATTATATTGTTAATTATTTCTATGGAGTTTAATATCTTTTTTTTATATATATATATATATATATATTTAACTATATTAAGTTGATAGTATTTTTATTTCATAGGATGAAGAAAGTGAATGAAATTTGCCAACATCATAGGAGGATACTCAGTAATTTTCATTAAGTTTGACATATATGTTGTGAAATTTGTGAATCTATTGACATCGTATCTTGTTAGATACACTTTATTAATGAATAATGTGATAGATTTTATTAGACTTTTAGGATGAAATTTGATTATATCTTAATTGATATTGAATTATATTTAGCTAAACACTTTGTCAAAGTGAATTATATTTAAAAATTACAAATTTAGTCATTTTTTAGTGATAATCAAACTAATATTTTATGTCATTAAAACAAATGAAAAATATATTATACATTTCATTAGATTTTTTTAATATAAATAATTTAATTTATTATATATTATATATTTAGATTATTGATTTTATTATAATAATAAAATTATTGTAACAAATTTTATTTTTAGCAGTTTTTAACTTCTATAATCTACAATTTTAATCATAAATGACATATTTTTTTTTACATATTTTTTTAGTGATAATAAATGCTAAAAAAATTAACATGAATATACATCTAATGGATAATAAAATTTTCTAAAATATAACGTTGGAAATAAATATAAAACTTATAATAATATTTTATGTGTTACAAGTTATAGATATTTATACGTGTCAACTTATTAAAAAATAGTTATAATAAATGTTATTAATATATGAAAACTAAGAGTTGGACGTTTCCAAAAAATTTAATTATAAGAATAGACATCTGGTTAATAATATGATTAGTTAAACATATCGTGTTTTGCATATGTATTGAGTTTATAATTTGTAATTTTATATTATTATATATTTTTAATGTACTTGCTTTATGTATTCTAAATTTTTAAAATATACTTTAGTATATATATATATATATATATATATATATATATTTAATTCATTTTTCGATTGTAAATAAAAATTGAAAATTAAATAATATGTGTTTTTTTTTAAATTAGATTAATTTTTTTCGTTATTATTATTTTTAATCAAATAGACATGTTTACCTTTTTATGTACTTATTTAATTTTCTTCTTTTATATATATCAACTTATTTTAAGAGAATTTTACATGTGTTTTTAAAATAAGTGAATTTTTTCAAAATTCTTATTTCAAAAACAATATTATAATAAATTTAAACAAATCTACATTAGCATGATATATTATTAATTAAGAAATCTTTAATATACAAATTTTTAAGAAATAAAGTAATGTTTTAAGTTTCAATGGTCAACCGACATTTGGTTAAAACCAAAATCAACCGATGTAATATTACACGTCAAAAACATTGATTTTCAATGAAAAAATAAATAAAAATTTAAAGACATCATCAAAATCAAAACTTTTTCATTTTACATACACTAAAAACACATTTAATTCATAAAAAAAATATAAAAAAGTTAATGTACTATTAACATTTAATTTAAGTATAAAATTAATACCTTTATTAAAAAAAGTTGACAATAACATTAATACGATATTATGAAGTCACTATTAAAATCATTATCATCATTTTTGTTTTTTTGGTATTAGAAGGATTTTACATCTTAAGTATACTCATAATGGTTTGATAACTATTAAGAAGGTAGTTAATTGTTATTATTATGATCGATTCCAAATAAATCTCAACATCATTTCTCTTTTGTATTTTTTTATTTTTAAATTCGTAACCTAAAATACTAATTGTTAGTATCTTCTATCATTATGATCAATAACTCTATTTATTCATTGAAAATGTTTTTATGTTGTATATTCTAGAATTTGTTAAGAGAGAAGCTAGTTTTTAAAAATAGAAAGATTTTAAAAATTGTTTAAATCAAGTTTAATAGTTTTATAAGTAAATGAAACGTTGCAACTTATATAATATTTGATATTTCGCGTATTATTTTTTTAGTTTGAAATGCAATAATAAATACTTTAAGAAATTTTATATAAAATTAATGTATCACTAAATAATCAAAAGAGTTTCAAACTTGTTTCAAAGTAAGGTGTCAAAGTGAGTCAACCAGAACTTACGGGTTGATTCACCACAAGTTGAGTTGAAAATAGGTGAGCTCAACTCAAATCACTTTTTAGCGAACTAGAAATTTTATAACCTGACTCAACCTACCATGAGTTGGTGAGTTAGGTGTATTGACTTACTAATTCATATTTTTTTAATTTTTAAATGATATATATATATATATATATATATATATATATAATTACATTGTTAGATATTAACACAATACTATAGTTTTCAAATAAAGATTCATCAATCTAATCGTTTAGGTTATGGTACAAATTCTTACCTTTGAAAGCGATACTGATGATCACGGTGGTATAGTAATGTGGTAGACGAGAGGATAAGATAAGTGACCCAAGTGCATGAGTGACAAATATAGTGATACAACGAACAATCGATAACAAACTTAAGTGAAAGTTTGATTTATGGTAATAATAACAATGTAGAGTAGAAGTAATATAGGATAATATTAGGTAGAATTACTAAAATATTATAATTATTTTTAAAATTTAAAATAAATAATTAATTATAATTAATATATTATTATAATTATTTTTAAAATTTAAAATTAATAATAAATTATGGGGCAACCTACTATAACTTGACTAAAACTAGTTTAATTCATAGATTAAATGAGCCTAATTCATTTTTAGGCCATCATCTATAAAAATTGAAAAAAATCCATTCCAACCCGATTAGAAACCATCATGAAACGGGTTGGCTGAACCAATATTGACACCCTGTTCAGAAGTTGCTTCTTCTAACGTGGAACACACGTAGAAGTTGCTTCTTTTATTGGAAGACTGATTCTTGGTTTGGTGTATGGTATTGACTTTTGAACTTCAACTTTGGCAACCAAAAAACTTAATATAAATACTTTTCCTCTTAGGAGCTCCACTCGTCACTTTACCTGAAGCAATTCGTGAGAAGTTGAATCAGTGAATTTTAATGATTATTTATAATTAGTTAGTAAATCGGAAAAATAAATCTGAGATCATCCCTTCCTCTCCTGCCGGCGTCTCCTAGGCGGCGGAATTCGTGAATCGGGCTCGCCTCCTGCGACCTCAAAATGATGCACACCGGCGTCACCCCCTGCGATCTCAATCGATTCGGTGTCATTGTCAGATCCAGCCCTCGCCACTCTGATTGCACGATCGTTGCCGCCAACAAGTAATCCTCTATTTTTTCTAGGGATTTTACTTTCCTAATTTGTTTTCCTTTCCACCGTAGATTCTAAATCGCATCTCTCATTAGATGCCTGATTTTCTTTATATGTACGCGATTTCACTTTTATATATACTATCAATGCTTTCGCGTCTTTGTACGTTGAGAAAATTTTAAACATGTGTTTGGTGTTATTGATCATCTGCTTGTATGTTTTAATCGACTCTTTTGGTTGCTAAAAACCTTAGTATGTTTTCAGTTTAGTGTTGATAGGATTGGACACTGTTACTAGGACAATGTTTTAATGCTGATACCACCAGTTCCTGATTAGGCTCACAAGGTACTAGGACACTGTTTCTTGTTTATATGCTCTGCCGTGGAAAACGTTTGATTGAATGATAATGCATGTCAAAAGAGGTTCTTATGCGGATAATGGTTGTCTAGCATTGAATGAGAAGTGTGAACATTCTGAGTTATGTTGCGCCATTATAAAAGGTTATAAGTTGCTTCCTTGTTACAGAAAAAGGAGTACAAGAGTATGTGTCTTAATTTTTATACCTTTTATAATACTGAATCTTGGTTGCTCATCTATCTGTAAATATATTCTTGGTAAGCAGCTTAATTGAGTGCCAATTTGATTAGCTTTTACACATGAGGACTTTTTGTGGTGAAATCTGGGAATATTTTTAGGACATAGATGCCAGGGCTAAACCTGGACTAGACCATGAATGTAATAATTACATGTTGTGAAACATTTCCTCCATGCATGAAACGTATCCTGACTGTCAGTTTCAAACACTACATGAGGACTTATGTCATATATTTGATTGTATAACTTACTGGAATAAGCTAAAAAATGTTTATGGGAGTCACAAGTTGTTTTCATACTCTCGGATAAACTCTGTATAAGTTCTTCCATGTCTCCTATGTAAGTTCTGGTTTTGAACATTAACCAGCTTGTTATACCACTTGTAAGACTCTACTACTTTATTTATTTATTTCAATTGTCAGAATATTTTCTTTTGAGGTCTAATTTACTCTCTACAATCTTGAAGAATATGCATCATAATGTTGGGAGTTACGTCTATTGTAATGCCTAATCCACTTGGTTGGGATTTTTCTGAAATAGATTTTTCATGCCCTTTTTCTATCTTCCCTTCCATGTGAAATTCCATGTTCTGATCCTATTATCTATTCTGATCCCCTTTTCTATAAATGTTGTGTTATTTTTTAATTAGACTATCTTATTCTTTATCAAATAAAAATAATTAAATTATTTAATAAAAATATAAATTAGTAACCACACAACTTCCTTGCACAAAAGTAGCCATATACTTTCTTCACATAAAATAACCACTTAGCATTAAATGATTGAAAAATAGCATAACTCCTCAAAACTAAACCCACATCATGTTCATGCCATGACCTCGCTCTCTTCAGTTGCACGGTTGAAGAGTCCACCCTCCATTGACATGATGCCATTTGATTGGGTCATTCTATATCATTAGGATTCATACCAATACACCAATTAACAATGTCAATCACTCTCACTCATAATGATAAGCCTAAGGTAATTAAATTTACAATTATCTACATGATGTTGACTTTATCACCTGTTATTTTCAGGTTATGTTCTGATATCCGAAGTCCTGACTATGTTGATTGTCATTCAAATTGTAACAAGTCTACATCTCAAGTGTCTTTGTTTTTGTGTTCTGACTCCACTAATAGAAGAAATGGCCTGCGTAGCGGACTACTTTGTGTGAACCCCTCTAGCAGGAGAAAACTTGTTCCGGCTTCTTATTCTGTGGAGACAAGTGCTTATGATGTGGGTGCCTTAGAATCTCCTTCACGTGTTGCAGAAGAAAAAGTTGGCGTGCTACTTCTCAATCTAGGAGGACCAGAGACATTGAATGACGTTCAACCTTTTCTGTTTAATCTTTTTGCAGATCCTGTATGTTAATTTTATGATTTTCTACTGTTGGTTTTTTTCTTTGTGTGTAAATTCCACATTATCATTAGTATATTCATATAATTCGTATATTAATGTGCTTCTTGTATTGGGATAGGACATCATTCGACTCCCAAGGTTGTTTAGGTTTCTCCAGCGGCCATTGGCAAAATTGATTTCTGTACTTCGGGCTCCTAAATCCATGGAAGGGTATGCTGCCATTGGTGGTGGCTCGCCTTTACGCAAAATTACTGATGACCAGGTAGATTTAAAATTTTTTGGTTTTCCCATTATATGCTGTGCTTTTCTGCAACAAAAAATTCTTTGTTGACCCTTTTCTTGTTACAATCAATAAAAGTTATGTCTGTTGGTCATATTTCTGGACCTAAGGAAGCTTTTATGGTTCTTTGTGATTTGTGCAGGCACTTGCAATCAAAATGGCTTTGCAAGCAAAGGGCCTCTCTTCAAATGTCTATGTGGGGATGCGATACTGGTACCCATTCACTGAAGAAGCAATTCAGCAAGTAAGTTCTTATACTTTTTGGCCTTTCTGCATTATTCTCCCCCACATCCATTTTCTCTTTTCATAATTAAATGACATACTGGACAATTAATTGTGAATTATGTTATTTATTCTGAGCTCCGGTGGATCACCTTAGTCTTGAGTCTAAATCAAAAGCTTGTCTTGCATGGCAGATTAAGAAGGACAGAATAACAAGGCTTGTGGTACTACCCCTTTATCCCCAATTTTCTATATCCACGACTGGGTCAAGCATCCGCGTTCTTGAACAAGTATTCAGGTACTTCTTATTCATGAATGCCCTTAAGTGATTCAAGGATTATTCATTATTAACTGATATCATTTAATTCAGGGAAGATGCCTATTTGTCTACACTTCCTGTTTCCATTATAAACTCTTGGTATCAACGAGAAGGTTATGTTAAGTCAATGGCTGACTTAATTGTGAAAGAACTCCAGAGTTTTTCTGAACCAAAAGAGGTATATTATTGTGTTGAATGCTTTCAACATGCCTCTTATATAAATTGAAGGCTATGTGATGTATTTTACTGCAGACTGAACCATGGCTTTTTTCTATGTATATTAGGCGATGATATTTTTCAGTGCACACGGTGTGCCTGTTAGTTATGTTGAGGATGCTGGGGATCCATACCGAGATCAAATGGAGGAGTGCATCTTCTTGATCATGCAAGAACTGAAAGCTAGAGGAGTTTGTAATGAGCACACTCTTGCTTATCAGGTTTGTTTAGATTTTGAACCCTTTGAAGTTACCTTTCTGGCATCTAGTTCAATGGAGATTAAAATTTAAATACTGGCTTGTATTCTTGCTTTCTATGGTGTACTTTATATTTTTCTGTTATCATACCTTTTTGTTGGATGAATTTCCAGAGTCGAGTGGGTCCTGTACAGTGGCTTAAACCATATACAGATGAAGTTCTTGTTGAGCTTGGCCAAAAAGGTGTAAGGAGTCTTTTAGCTGTTCCAGTGAGGTACAATAATTGCTGGTCTTATACACTTGTAGATTTAAATTCTAGACGGTAGCTTATGGGCTTTACCGAATGTTACTAGTTACAGTACTGTTGAAAGTTGTGAATATACACCTGAGAGTAAAAGTAATCCTGTCTTCTTGTATCCCAGCTTTGTGAGTGAGCATATCGAGACTCTTGAAGAAATTGACATGGAGTACAAGGAATTGGCTCTTGAATCTGGCATTAAGAATTGGGCACGTGTACCTGCCCTTGGTCTTACCCCTTCCTTCATTACAGATTTGGCCGATGCAGTAGTAGAAGCTCTCCCGTCAGCAAAAGCAATGTATCCACCGAACAGCACCTCTGAAGATGTTGATCATGACCCAGTTAAATATTTTGTCAAGTTATTCTTTGGTTCTTTCTTGGCATTCATCTTGTTCTTGTCACCCAAAATGATCATGGCATTCAGGAATCATTTTTAGAAGGAATAGAATCTGCTTGCTGAATTTGATCCTCAAGCATATATAGATGAACCTATTGATGCCACACATAGTATACTTGACTTTTTGCTTCAGTTTCACTCATTCTAACCTCTACTGTATACCCCACATAGCTCTATGAGAAGCTAATTTTCTCATAATATGGAAACTTGTGGCTTAAAGAATATTCAAAGAATAATTGACCAGGGATATGTTTAAGAGCCAAGAAGCATTAACTCGATCTCTGATATTAAACCAGAACAAGTTTTTGATTTTTGTATATTACTTATTTAGACCTTCTCTATATTTTATTCTGGGCATAAATTGTTTAATCAAGTACTTGCTGCTTATCATTGAGAATCTTTTTGTAATCATTTAAACTTTCTGTTTGCAGTGGAAGTAATTTAAATGTATTTTGTATTCACTTCAATGTCAGGCTTATGTTTCTGCTTACCCAGCCATCGCGTTGACTGGGAGTAGGTCATAAGCAAAACAAATTGTTGAAACCAAACAAGTTCTCCATTAACTCTTGAAGTTTCCGGTTTAATTTTCATGGTAAATATTATCTCGCGGCCATATTGGCCTTTCTTTATAAGCTAAAATTTTATTGAATCAGAAGGTGCTAGTCCATGAAGGATAACGGGTGCTCTTCCAAGCACCAAAATAGTTACAGAACATGGTAAATTCTGCATAACGTGCATACTGAAAGCAAAAACATTAGTACATCAAAACAATTGCCTTTACATCTATCCAAGACAAACTGGTGAGAACCAAAGGTCATCTTTCCTTGGCTTACGACGTAGTCCACTTCCACTGTGTTATCAAGTCCAAATCCAATCTTATACTTCTTACAGATCATCGCCTACAGCTAGAGGATAAAATATCAGTATGTTATGTTTCAAGGGAACTTAATATGTGTGTATGCACTGCATGCTATTATCTATGTTTGCTTTCTTGTTAAACTGTTACGAACTCACTCCCACACGTTGTAGAGAATATTACAGACCCACTATCAAGTTTTCCTCTAACTGTTGCAGTTTTTCATGGCACTTCTAAGTATGGGATGAGGTTGTTGCTGGTGGATTTTTTGGATGTAGGTAATTAGGGTTTTGGGTCCAATCTACACCTATAAATAGAATATCATTTCACACTCTCTAAAAACACACCTCTCATATTCTCTTCTCTATTTTTCCTTGTGTTCTATTATTATCTTGGGTGTATTTACTCTTTTAAGAGTTTCTTACTAGTTTCTGAGATACTTGAAAATTCTGAGAACTTCCTGTTATATCCTAGGGGACTTGTGCAATATACCGCGGATAAGTCATTAAGGGTAGTGCCTTAGAAATAAAGTTTGTTCGTGTCTCTGACAATTTTTACAACAATCTTAAGGACTTATGGTTGATAGACCGGAAAAGACAAATAATATTTCCGGAACTCAAACTGTCTTTGCGAAACCATTCCTGAACGTTTCAAAAATTGAAGTTTTCACTGGGCAAAACTTTCGATGCTGGCAGAAACACATTTCTACTCTCTTAGACATGTATGGAGTGACTTCTGCTCTTACAACTATCAAACCTGACTCCAGTACTCCTGCTAAACAAATTGAAGATTGGGTTCATTTGAACAAGGTATGACGACACATTTTGCTTAGTGCATTGTCTAATAATTTGTTCGATGTGTATTATCCCTATAAGAAGCCAAAACTATTTGGAATTCATTAATTCTCAAATACATTGCGAAAATGTCATGGGACAAAGGTTCGTTATTGGAAATTACTACTGCTGGGAGATGCTAGAAGACAAGGACATCAAGATCCAGATCAACTAGTACCATGAATTGCGTGAAGATATGAAAGCTGAAATCATAGTCCTACCTAATAAGTTCATTTCGGAACTTCTAATCGAAAAGCTTCTAGAATCCTGGACAGATTACAAACAACAACGAAAGCATAGACATAAACAGATGCCACTAATAGATCTGATCACGCACATCATCATCGAAGATACTAACCAGAAGGAGTGTGTTGTCGCAAGGGATAAGACATTATCAGCTAAGGCAAATATGGTAGAAGACAAACCAACTCCAAAAATGTACGAGAAAAAAATCTTTATAAGAAGAAATATAATTTTAAAATTTATCGTCCAAATGGATCTAATCCCACTTTCAAGAAGAAGGGAAATTGTTTTGTCTGTGGAAAGTCAGGTCAAGATACAGTTATTGTGATCATTTTCCAAATAAACCTTGTGACAAATGTGAGTATATGGGTGGTAGACTCTGGTGCTACCAGACACATCTGTGCAAACAGAAATGTTTTTACCTCCTACACTAGTGTGGGGATGGAGAAGAACATATTTATCTCGGTGATTCCAGGATAACTCCTGTCTTAGGAAAAGGAAGAGTTCTTCAAAAACTCACATCTAGAAAGACTCTGGCCTTGAGTAATGTGCTACATGTGCCATTAATAAGAGCTAATCTAATCTTTGTAACACTGCTGGAAAAAGTTGGGGTTAAAGTGTCATTCGAATCTGATAAGATTATTATGACAAAAAATAATGTGTTTGTAAGAAAGAAATACTATGATCAAGGTCTTTTTGTACTTAACATCTCTGAGGTTATTAATGAATCTCGTTTTTCTGCTGATATTATTGATTATGATATGTGACATGCTAGACTAGGACACGTGAATTCTTTGTATGTTATGAAATTGCAACGATTAGGATTAGTTAATATGCATGATAAACAAAATAAGAGATGTGATATATGTGTAGAATCTAAAATAACCAAGAAAAATTGTCAATTTGTAGAACGTCAAACTGAACTTTTAGGATTGATTATGATATTTTCTGACATTTATAGATGATTACTCTAGATACACCAAAGTATACTTAATCAAACATAAAGATGAAATGTTTGACATGTTCTTAACTTATAAAGCGGAAGTAGAAAATCAATTACATAAGAAAATTAAAAGGATTAGGTCGGATACAGGTGATGAATATATAGCATTTAATGATTATTGTGTTAAAGAAGACATTGTTCACGAAGTAACCCCACCATATTCACCTGAATCTAATGGAGTAGCTGAGAGAGAAAAAAAAAAAACAGAAATCTAAAAGAAAAAATGAATGTCATGCTTATTAACTCTAGTGCACCTAATAACCTTTGGGGAGAAGCTCTGCTTATGACGTGTTTATTACAAAATAGGATACAACATAAGGAAACTGTTAAAACTCCCTACGAGTTATGGAGATGTTATGAATCTAATCTTAAATATCTAAGAGTGTGGGGTACCTAGCTAAAGTTGGTAAAACTCCTTACGAGGTTATGAACCTAATCTTAAATATCTAAGAGTGTGGGTTACCTAGCTAAGGTAATGTTACCCAATCCAAAGAAAATGAAAATGAGCTCTAAAACTTCTAATTGTATATTTGTAGGTTATACAAAACATAGTGCTGCCCATAAGTTTCTTGTCCTCAAAAGTGATGTAATTGAACATAATATTATAGTCGAGACAAAAAATTTTGAGTTCTTTGAACATATTTTTCATCTAAAGGTTAGTGAGACACCTAAACAATCTATAAATATTAATAGTGATAATGTATATGAGGATTTGAGGAGAAGTAAAAGACAGATGAAGAAAACCTTCTTTGGAGATGATTTTTACACTTATCTAGTTAAAAATGATCTAATGAATTTTTTAGAGACTACTAAGGTTTCTGATGCAATACAGTATGATAAAGCCATTAACACTGAAATTGATTCAATTAAGAAAAATAATACTTGGACTTTAGTATATTTGCCTAAAGGAACAAAATCTATTGGTTATAAGTGGATCTTTAAAAAAAAGTATCAACCTGATGGATCCATAGATAAATATAAGGCAAGATTAGTAACAAAGTGTTTTACTAAAAAATCCAACATTGATTATTTTGACACCTTTGCCCCTGTGACTAGGATTTCCTCTATTCGAGTTTTGTTAGCTCGAACAGTTATCCATAAGCTATTTATACACCAAATGAATGTTAAGACAACCTTTTGAACGATGAATTAGAGGAGAAAATTTATATAACTCAACCTGAAGGGTGTGTTATTCTTGGAGAGAACAAAGTGTGCAAACTTTTAAAATCTTTGTATGGATTAAAACAAGCACCAAAACAGTGGCATGAAAACTTGATAGTATTTTCCTTTGTAATGACTTCAACTAATGATGTTGATAAATGTGTGTACTCTAAATTTGAAAGTGGTGAATGTGTCATTATATATTTATATGTAGATGACATGCTAATATTTGTTATATGCATTAACATTGTCTCTATAACTAAGTTGTTTCTGGGATCTAAATTTGAACTGAATGGATGAAACCAATGTGATTTTGGGATTTAAAATCATAAGGAAGGGCGATAATATTTTACTATTCCAATAACAATACATTGAGAAACTTTGGACGTTATAATGTCAAACCAATGAATACTCCTTATGACGTTAATCTAAGTTAGAGGAGACTCAATCTCTCAACCTCCGTATGCTAATTGGAAGTTTACTGTATTTAATGAGCTTTTCTAAACCTAACATTGCTTATGCAGTAGGTAGACTAAGTAGGTACACTCAATGTCCTAATCAAGAACATTGGAATGCACTTACAAGGCTTATGAGATACTTTAGAGGTTCAATGAATTATGCCATTGTCATTGAATATAGTGGATTTCCTACTTGTACTAGAAGGGTACAATGATGCTAACTAGATCTCCGATTTAGATGAGACAAAATCCACTAGTGGCACTACAAAAAATATGTCATTTATGGCTGCTAAAATTGTAGATTTTAGAAGTTAAAAATCGCTACAAACAAAATTTGAAACAATTAATATAACTGTCATATTTGTAGATGTCAAAAATGATTTGTAACAGAAATTTTTTAAATGTTGGTATTTATGTAAAAAAATAAAATTCCAATAGTTAAAAATCGTCACAAAATACATTATTATTCTCATTTTAATTTAACATTTTGTTGCAGTTTGAAATTGTTATAAATGTTATTTGTATAATTAATTTTATATTTTAACAATTAAAAACCGCTGCAAAATATATAATATTTTATAATTATTTAAAACTTATTAGAGGTTTCAAAAACTGCCAAACTTATTTAATTACTATTTTTTAATTATTTTATCAATAAATCAAATTAAAGTTTATTTTTCTCCTTTTACTCAATATGCAATTAGATTTCAGCATATTTTGTTATTGATGTCAAATTCATATGCATAACTTCAGTCTGACACTTTTTGTTGTTGAAGAAAAGTGTAAAATACTTACCTGGACGAAGCAAAATATAGAAACTAAAGGCTATTCAGCCCAGAACCTATACTGTTAGCAAAGTTTGATTTTCCTATTGCAACAAATTGCATTTTCAATTCTAAAATTTCCTATCTTATTTCTTACATTAATTTACTAATCATGGGAATGCCAAACTTGATCATTGTAGTTAGTTTTTAAAAATAGTTATGGTTCGTGAAACATTTCTTTTTCTACCTTAAAAGGATCAAACTATAAGAGCAATGCTCATTCTGCAAAATTTAAAGGATTATGTCTTGAAATGGACCTTAGTGTACAAAACTCCTTTTCTAAACTACTAGACTATATTGGCTAACATATATGTATTAGAGAACTATTAGGAGGAAATTTTTAGTTGTGTTTTATGTTTGTAAAAACATTACTAAAACTTGTTCCAATATACAAAATCAGTTATATGAGCACATGCAACTGTAACAAAGATTATGCTAGGTAAGAAAATGAATTAATTACATGATACAAAAGATTAAAGAGACTTGTTGCCAAAGATTCTTTTGGCCACAATTACAAAATGCACACACTTGAATAAAAACATTTCTTAAGACATAGGACAATATGTAAACGTGAAAACAAATAGACGAATTATTAATGAACATGGATATTATCAAATAAATGTACAGTAAAGGATTGGAACCTTTATGCATGCCCTAAAAACATTACTACGAGTTAACATCTTAGTGTAGTGTCCAACTAGTGTCACCTCCAGTTCCTCATACAATCCAAAGTCAAAAACCTTCAACACCTTAAACTAACAACACCAAAAGGGTAGCTCAAACGATAAAATTCAAGCTGGCACACCCATTAAACCAAGTTCAGAGCAGACTGTGAATCTTGACTCACCAAATTTCTAAGTCAAATAGCTTCAAACATAATACACTCTTAGGATCCCAAGTTGGAAAATTAAAAAATAAAAACTCATAAAAACAAAAACAAAAAAATAGAGCTTAAATGCAATTACAATGCGACGAATGTTGTCTCAGACACCCGGATCTACAACATTCATGGTTTCTTATATCTCTACCCCTTATTTACTGAAGATGTAAAATAAGTCTATATTGGTAATGGATTTGTCCAAGAATTGAAATGCAAATTGATTCTAGAATGAGAGAAAGTATGCCTTCAGTAACCAAATTACTTTTCAATTTCTTTCATGCATTCCTTCGAACACCCGAAAGGTATTTGAAAATCAAAACTTAGTTATTCCAAAACAGTTCATTGTCCGTCACAAGCTCTACAAATATGTCCTACAACAATTATCAGTGACTCAATAATTCACATTGTGGCTCGAAACACAAAAAGAATAACAACAAAACGTAATGAAACAAGAAATAATAGTAAAAGTTTCGTACCCGATGTTAAGGAAAACACAAAGAACGGTTGAACGTAAATTTTTGTCATGCGTCACAGAGAAAGAGAAATTAACATATGTTGTGAATTGAAGAAAAAAATGATAGATAAAACTCTTAATCTTTCACAAAAATCACAAACACGTAAAATTAAAAAGTAATTTTCATCTAATTTAATTTCATTTCTCTCACAGTAACTTTCATCTTTATTACAAATCTCATATTTAAAAAAATTCTATTATTGTTTTATTTTACACATCTCATATATTTTTTAAAAATCTATTATTATTTAATTCTATTAATATTATCTTTTATAAAATTGAATCAATCTAATAAATAATATATTAAAAAAAAGTATTCAAATAAAATTATATAAATTTATTTTTTAAGTAAATGATTTATTGCTATATACAAAATTTTATGATGAATAATAAATTTTTTTGATATAATATTATTATTTATTTTAAATTTTTTTCTGGTTTACTTTTTTTTTTCTGTTTTTTCTTTCATTCTCTTTTATTCTTCTTGCACTCTACCTTATCTTTTTACTTAAACCTATTAAATTAAAATTTGATCAAATTAATTTTTTATTATTTCTAAAAAAATAAAAATATTTAAATTATTCAAAAATACTATACTATAATATATTATATTTTAAAAATATTATATAATATATTTTGAAGTGTTACAAACATGATTATTATATTATAATTATTAAGAAAAAAAGTTAATATTTATTTTAAAGTAACTTTTTAAATTACCTAATCTGACACATTTTCATAACTTAATATCATTGTAACTAAATTAAATTACTAAATACAAAATATATTCACAAATATTTGATATATTTTTAATTAAATGAATAATTAATTTATTATGATAAAACAATTTAAAATTAATTATTTATCATTATTGTAAATAAAATTATTTATTACCATAATAGATAAAACTATTTATTGTTATGATAATTTTAAATAATTAGTTGATATTTTTTAATTTTAATTTTAATTTTAAAAAATTTACTCTAACTTTTTTTATTAAATTTTAATATAATATATTAATTGCAATCGTAGAGAGAAAAGAGAAAAAAATAAGAGAGGTGAAATAAAAAAATGAAAAAACAAGAGAATAAGAAACAAAATTATAAAAAAATAAAATATATATATATATATATATATATATATATATATATATATATAGTAAACAAATTTATTAATTTTATTAAAAATTATCTCTGAAATGTCCTACTTTTAATATTTTATTTTAAATTCAAACATGAATATATCGAAAAATTCTTATTATTAATTATAGATTTGACCCCTCTTAAATGAAGAAAATGCACTTTAAAAACTAAAATAAAAAAATGTTATAAAATCAACTATTGTAATCTTAATAAATTACAAATTTTATTTATATATTTAATATTATCATAATTATTGAATAAATTATTATGTTATATTTACACAATAATATATATATATATATATATATATATATATATATATATATATATATGATTCACATATTAAATAATAATATAAAAAAATTATAATTATTAACATGTTTATTTAGACGAATAATATAATAAGTATACCAACTTTTTAAAAGCTTTATAACTATGCACCAACAATAACTGTAAAAAAAATGGTTTTATAGCAAACACTTTCAGATAAACATGTTTCATAAATGTAAAAGTTACACCTTTAAAAAGTTAACCTAACCTAATTTTAACCTTAATTATATTGATACCTCAATTGGGCTTTCTTATCTAAAATTTCCCTGGTCTAATTAAAAAACACAATTTTGTAATATTTTTTTCTTCCAACGACCCCAGAAAATGCTAGCAACAAAAGTATAAAAGGGGAGGGTGGGGTGGTGCAAACCAAAAACAAATTTCATAAACCAAAACTCAAAAATCAGACACAACACTCCAATAAGCGTATCATCGAAGTGTCTTGTCCCCCCCTCCTTCCCGCAGTTTCGGGTATTCCATTTTTCTCTTCTCTGCGTGTTCCCGTCATTCATTCTAATCATTCCTTAAAAAAAAAAGTATGGTTCTTCTTCTTATTATTATTATATAAACATTGCAACTTAATTTTTGGTTTTGAGAAATGAAACTGTAACTATCTATAATTTTGGGTTTGTTTTGTGTTTCACCTTGATTTGTTAGGGTTTTGTTTTATTCTAATTATGTGTTATATGTTTAAATTTGAGAAGAATTGAGGGATAGGCAAATGTTGTGGTTTATTGGTTTTATGTGTGAATTGGGGTTATTTTGTTATAATTGTAGTTTCAATTTTTTATTGTGGTAGGAAGGTATTAGGAGGATATGAGCTCTCACCCTCGGAGAGAAAGAAGGGGTTGGTCCAGGGTTCCATCTCAAGTTTTTACTCGTCAAGAATGGGTCCCCAGAGGGAGTGTTGCATCCACCCCTGTTGCTCAGCCATCAAATTTGCATCTAAGTAACAATGCCGATGTCGGTTCTTCCAATCAAGGGTTGGTTGTTGCTGCTATGCCTGTTATTCGCCATAGAAGCAATAATCATGGGGATGATGTTGGTTTATTCAGTCAAGAGGTGGCCATTGTTGCTCCGCCAGTATGCAAAAATCATGGGAATGGTGTTGGTTCTTCCAGTCAAGGGGTGGCTGTTGCTGCTCTGACGGTGACTCACCATAGAAGCAATAATCATGGGAACGATGTTGGTTTTTCCAGTCAAGGGGTGGTTGTTGATACTCTGCCGGTGACTCATCATCTAAGCAATAATCATGGGAACGATGCTGGTTCTTACTGTCGGGTAGTCGATACTGCTCCGTTGGTGACTCGCTACAGAAGCAACAATCATGGGAATGGTTCTTCCAATCAAGGGGTGGTTGTTACTGGTCCCTTGATGACTCACCATGGAATCAACAATCGTGGGAATGATGTTGGTTTTTCCAATCAAGGAGTAGTTGATCCTCTGCCTGCAGGTCGAGGTAGAAGCAATAATCATGGGAATCATAAGATGGAAAAGGAAAGGGGTAGGGGGAGGAGTAGTGGTTATCAAGTGGGGAAGGGATTGGGAGTGGGATTCAGAGACTCTAGTTTGCCTCAACTGGTGCAAGAGATTCAGGAGAAGCTCTTGAAAGGTACTGTAGAGTGCTTGATTTGCTTTGAAATGATCCAGAGGTCAGCTTCAGTTTGGTCTTGCTCGAGTTGCTACACTATCTTTCACGTGACTTGCATCAAGAAATGGGCCAAGGCACCTATTGCGATTGATTTGTCTGTCTCCGTGGAGAAGAATCAAGAACCTAATTGGCGTTGTCCTGGTTGCCAGTCTGTGAAATTTACCCCTTCAAAGGAGATTAAGTATGCTTGCTTTTGTGGGAAGAGGATAGACCCTCCATCTGATTTGTATCTAATACCACATTCATGTGGGGAACCTTGCGGGAAGCGTCTTGAGAGGGAGATCTTGGTTGCTGGAGGGAATAGGGATGATCTTTGCCCTCATACTTGCGTCTTGCAATGCCATCCAGGACCATGCCCTACCTGTAAAGCATTTGCTCCCCCGCGGTTGTGCCCTTGTGGGAAGAAAAATATTACCACCCGTTGCTCTGATCAACAGTCCGATCTTACCTGTGGACAGTGTTGTGGTAAACTTCTAGAATGTGGGCGCCATCACTGTGAACGAATTTGTCACCTGGGTCCGTGTGATCCTTGTCAGGTTTTAATCAATGGCTCTTGCTTTTGTGGTAAAAGAACCGATGCTATGACTTGTGGGGACATGGCTGTGAAGGGTGAAATTGAAGCAAACGGTGGGTTTTTTTCTTGTGGTTCCTATTGTCCAAAGAAACTTGGTTGTGGTAATCATGTCTGTGGAGAGATTTGTCATCCGAGCAGCTGTAGGGAATGTGAATCTTTACCTAGCCGAGTTAAGACATGTTACTGTGGGAAAACAAGGTTGGAGAATGAACGCCTAAGTTGTTTGGATCCAATACCAACCTGCTCTCAAGTATGTGGCAAGATCCTTCATTGTGGCCTGCATCGTTGTACAACAGCATGTCATTTTGGGGAGTGTCCACCTTGTTCTGTTCAAGTTTCACAGAAGTGTCGCTGTGGCACAACTTCCCGAACTGTGGAGTGTTACAAGACTAAGATGGAAAATGAGAACTTCATGTGTGAAAAGTCTTGTGGGAGAAAAAAGAACTGTGGAAGGCATCGGTGTAGTGACAAGTGTTGTCCATTTACTAAGCCAAATAGTAATGATAATAATATTACTGGGGATTGGGTTCCTCACTTTTGTTCAATGACATGTGGAAAGAAGCTAAGGTGTGGCCAACATTTGTGTGCATGTCTGTGTCACAGTGGTCATTGTCCACCTTGTTTTGAATCAATCTTTACCGAATTGACTTGTGCTTGTGGTAGGACTTCATTATCTCCACCTCTACCTTGTGGTACACTGCCTCCATCATGTCAGCTTCCGTGCTTAGTTCCTCAGCCATGTGGCCATTCAGGTTCACACAATTGCCATTTTGGAGACTGCCCTCCTTGTTCAGTGCCTGTAGCAAAAGAATGTGTTGGGGAACACGTAGTTCTTAGGAACATACCGTGTGGTTCTAAGGAAATTAGATGCAATCATCCTTGTGGGAAGACCAGGCAGTGTGGTTTACATGCGTGTGGCAGAACATGTCACCCCCCACCATGTGATAATTTATCTGGGATTGTGCAAGCTTTCAAAGTGCCATGTGGCCAAACATGTGGTGCTCCAAGAAGAAGCTGTCAGCACACGTGTATGGCTCCTTGTCACCCTTCATCTCCATGTCCAGATATAAGATGTGAGTTCCCTGTTACAATCACTTGCTCTTGTGGTAATATAATCGCAAATGTTCCTTGTGATGCTGGTGGTAGCAGTAGCAATTATAATGCTGATGCCATACATGAAGCTTCCATTATTCAAACATTGCCAGTACCACTTCAACCAGTCGATGCAAATGACAAGAAAGTTCCCCTTGGACAAAGAATGTTGATGTGTGATGTTGAATGTGCTAAGCTGGAACGCAAAAGGGTTCTCGCAGATGCTTTTGACATTACTGCTCCAAATCTGGATTCTCTACATTTTGGCGTGAATTCTCTTTCTTCTGAATTGCTTCTGGATATTTTCAGGCGTGAGCCAAAATGGGTTTTAGCTGTTGAAGAGAGGTGCAAAATTTTAGTACTAGGAAAGACTAGAGGAATTACACATGGTTTAAAAGTGCATGTCTTTTGTCCTATGACAAAGGCCAAAAGAGATGTAGTGAGGTCGATTGCTGAAAGATGGAGGCTTGCAGTCAATGCTGCAGGCTGGGAGCCAAAGCGGTTTATTGTAATTTCTGTCACCTCAAAATCAAAGACCCCAGCTCGACTGATAGGGATTAAGGGCACCACAACATTAAATGCACCCCTTCCTTCTGTATTGGATCCATTGGTTGATATGGACCCTTGGCTTGTTGTCTTGTTTCCAGACTTACCAAGGGATGCTGATATTAGTGCACTGGTGTTGAGGTTTGGTGGTGAGTGCGAGCTTGTTTGGTTAAATGACAAGAATGCTTTGGCTGTTTTTCATGATCCTGCCCGAGCTGCAACTGCAATGAGGAGGTTGGATCACGCAACAGTTTATCAGGGAGCTATTTTGGTTGCCCCGGTTGTTGGGGCATCGACGGGATCTTCAACTATCAATGCCTGGGGAACAGTTGAGGCAATGAAAGAAGGAGGAGCGCTGCCAGCATTGAAAGGCAATTCATGGAAAAAGGTTGTGGTTCAAGACCCTGGTTGGAAAGATTCATGGGGCAATGAAGAGTGGAGCATTGGTTCTATGAATGTTCAAACATCTGTTTGGAATAAAGAAGCGCCTATAGTTGCTGCTTCAAATCGTTGGAATGTATTGGACCAGGACTCGGCTTCAAGTTCATCTCGTACAAGAACTGACTCTTCCAGGAAGCAAACTGAAACTAGTTCTGTCTCAACGTTGGTGTCTACTGCAGGTGCCTCAAACGAAGTAGAAAACTGGGATGTAGCAGAAGGTAGTTGATGATTGGGAGAAGTCTTATTAATGATAAGAACAGCAAACAAGCTCTGTTAAAAAACCTCTTCTGGTAAAAAAAGAAACTCTTATCGTTAGAAATTTTATCTTGTTGATAAGTAGTCATGAGTTGTTAGGTGGTCTCCTTGCCTTGTTTTATGAATTTTTAGGCGAGATCATTTCTTGTCCTTAATAGGTAATTGTTTTAGACTCAAAGTGGTTGGAGGAGTCGTATTCAGATTGTGCAATGGGTATTACAGAAAAAAAAAAATGAACTCTGTAAACGTGTTGCAACAATGTTTATTGAGTCAATTAGGTCCTGGAATAATTTTTGTATTGATTATCAGTTTGGAAGTAAATCTGCTTTATCGTTTTATGAGCTATACAAAGTCCTATTTGTGAGATAAAAGACTTAAATTGAAGATGATATCAAATAACTCCCAAGAGAAATTTTCGTCTATCCCACTTCTGGAATTTACTGATCATTACATGGCTGGTGATGCATAGTAGAGGTTATGCTAGTAAGTAATTTCAACAACTTTGACCTCAGTCTACATAAACAAGTGATGATCTTTATTGAATAAATAAACATACAAGTTGCATGAGAAAGGATCCTCTTATTTTAAATTCAGAGTTTAGCTTTGACTTTTCATGGACTTGCATCAACATCTGGGTTATGCTTAGGACAGCATGCTTGAGGAGGAGGAGGAGGGGAAGGAAATATGTGCCTGCCAATGTTTCAATAAACTCTTAATCAGACTTAGAAAATCAAATTAATCCCCACCATTTTAAACTCTTTCCAGACTTATTTTTACATAATTATGACATGTTTACCTGGCTGCAATGAACGGATGGAAAAGGATAAGCAGCAAGAAGAACAACCGCAGAACCAAATTTAAAAGAAACTTCATTGATGTGGAGGATTAAAGAAAAGTACTAGTAGTAGATAGATGATGAAACTTGTCTTCTTTGTTATACATATATATAGGGTCTTGTTAATGATAATGGTACTAGAAATACCCCTCATGCACATAAACTCGTAGTTAATGGTGGTTTAATCTTTCAACTCCCACAAATAGCAGCTTCCAATGGGGGATGAGGCTTGTGGGCAAAAGTTGGCCGTGGCATGCAAAGCTTTTGTATTATATTGTGTTTAGTTGATAGTAATCTGCTATGCAATTATCACGTGTTAGGCATAGTATCATTTGAGTTCGTCCAAATTCAATGTCCAGTTTTCCACTTAAATACTTTTTATGACATGTTTTTATTTTATTTCAGCAAGATATTTCTATCGCCCAAAATAAATATGATAGTTTAACTATTTAAAGAATTTATAATTAAAATGATAGCTTATACTTAAAAATAGTGTTTATTATATATAAAAAATTAATAGAAAAATATATTATTTTTTATTTCTTTGAATTTCAAAATATTATTTATCATTTTTTTTTATAATTTATGATACCAGTTTAAATTACGATTTTAATTTTTTTTGTGATTTTTTTTTATAATTCTAGATATTTTATTATTTTGTTTTTCTAATCCAAAATATCCTTTTTGTTCTATTTTTTCTAGTACAAAGTACTTTTTTCTTCTTAAAAAAATAGAAGTACACATATTATCTATTTGTTTTGTTTTACTAAAAAACTACCCAACTTAAAAATTTTAGTTCAAAACATTTATCCAAATAAAGATCTGTTGAGTCACATTAATGACAATACTCCGTCCCTGATAAAGATGATCGCACAAATGAATATATCAAGTGAAAAATTCACAATATTCAAGTCATAATCTAGATTTTAATTCCATTGATTAATAAATTATTTTGATTCTTTTATTCTTGTAACTTGAAAAAAAAAAAAAAAAAGTATACTCAAGATAAAATATGCAGGTTCAATTCTCAAAATCGATTAAACTGATTAATGAATGAATCAAAACCTGAATTGAGTTTTTTAGTAATTTATCTAACTTGATTTTCATGTATTTTATGGCATGGCACATGATTAAACCATGCCCTACTCGCAAATCTCAGATATAGTGCATATAGGCAAATCTATATATCAAAATACATTCCATAACACTTTTTCATCATTTATTTTTCACAAGATGTTAACAAATCCAACATTTCTTTTCTCTCATTTTTTCTTCTTCTGTAAGTGCTAAAAAATGAAGAAGGCACATTCAGTAGAACCAAACAATCAGCAATAATATATGCTGAGATTGATCAACAAAAGGCCCTATAACTGCAGAAATTTTCATTTACAACTTCTCAATTAATCTCTAGATCAAAGGAAGTATAGTTTCACGAAAACTAAAACTTATATCTTTAATTAACCACTTGTGTTAATCCAGGTTACTTTTATTTTATTTCTCATTATAGATTGATCAACAAAAATGGCCAGCAACAGTAGCAAACAACTACCAAACCATTGAGCTAAATCAAAACAATGCCAGAATAGTCAATATTGTCTTTTATGAGTCATCTTTAACTATGTGGTTCCAATATCATATACATGCTGTTAGCAAGAATAAAAAGTTTTCATGTCAGTAATGATAAAAAAAGTGTATATAAATGTTTGTTTAGAGATAGGAGTGTGTCAGTTTCATGTTCAAATCTATTACATCTGATATATTATTCGTTTTAGGTGAAACAACTGAAACATTAAGTAAATTAAAAGAAAAATATATATATAATATCTAAGACTTGTGAGTATAACAGTATAACAGTGGAAAACATATCAACAATGAGCAATATAGTATTGAGTGGCATTATTTTCACCTTTTTGTTTTATCTAATGATGTCGCTCTGTCATAAACATTTTAGTTGGACACGCGCACGCTAATATATCACTTTCAAAAAGCCTTTTGAACCGATTTTGAATCACTTTAGGCTTATTCTTTATGAACAACTCCTATTCAAAATCATTTGTCTTTACTTTCTTACTTTTGTATTTAGCTCTGTATTATTTACGTAAATTGTCCATTATCATTCAATATTTGGTAAACTTTAATCTCATTCCAGAAACAGTGTACACAATCACAATATATAGAACTTGCCACTGTTGGATGAGACTGTTTGTGGTTTTCTCTTTGACGGCTTGGAGGATCTATGAACAGTGTCAACTCTGAGCAGGTAGCATCCAGATGCTTGTCCATAATTTTTTGCACTGGTGTAAGATATTGTTATCATGTCTTTTTCTTTAACCAACCAACTAGGGTTCTTCTTCTTGACTTTGCAACAAGATATTTTAACAAGTTTTAGTGTTCTCAGTTTATTACAAGGTCAAATATTCAGTTTGAACCTTACATATAAAGAACTAAAAGCCATGTTTTCTTCAACAAATTCAGCTTATGAACTTTACATATAAAAACTCTATATACATCAGTTTGCACCTAACAAAAACTTAGTTAGATGAAGATTGTGACTACTAACGGAAAAATAATAATAATAATAATAATATATATGGTGAAGAACACAAAGTTGGGTCCATAGGATTTGAATTTGAATCTGCAAAGGCACAGCTATGTACTGATCTGAATTAACTCTGCCTGCTCATAGGGTCCTGGTTGATCAGGACTCAGATGCAGTCCATTCGTACGCATAACTTTGGTGCATGATGAAAAGGAAACGAATATATAAATGAATATAGGGATAAAAAAGTACTTTAACTTTATATATATATAATGATATTATTACTGAAAAAGAAACTACTTTTTGTTTGGTTTCATAAAATTAAAATAAACATGTAAGAAAATATATAAATATTAATTGTATTATTTATATAATGGCAATTATAAGTTTCAACGAATAGCTAAATCAAAATGGACTAAACACATATTTTGAGTCATCAAATCATGATTTTGTTTTTGTTTGGGGTGAGTCACATCATGGAATAATTAATATATTTTTACACATGGATGATGACGATGACAAGGAATTATATTGATACTATATAAACTTCTACATTCTATTAATTAATCTTAATAATATTTATATATATATATATATATATTCTATTAATTTAATTTAATTTAATTTATTTATATTGTGTTGGAAAAACATTTTATATTTTTAAAGAAATCTAAATATATTAAATTTATTTTTTATTTTAAATTCTTTAATTTTTAAAATGTTTTTTTAGAATAAAAAAATAATTTTTTAAAATTATAATTGTCTTATTTGAATAGAATATTTTAATTATCACTAAATATAAAAATGATCAATATTAATAAAAAAATTCATATAGAAATTGATAAAAAAAATCACCACATAATTTTAATTAAAGAATTTTATTAATATCGATGGAAAATATTTTTTTATAAATATCAACTAATAAATAATACTAATTTGTATCAATAGATAAATAATTTAATAATATAAAAAAATAACATTTATCAACGCAACTAAAAACACTGACATGAATAAAAATGATTTTGACAATATTCATTAAATTTTTGTTTATTAATATATGTTAATAAATAATCATAACCTGAATTTTAATCAATTGAAAAATAAATCTAATTAACATAAAAAATAACAACATTAATTAAATTTAATTAAGAAATAACACATGACTATGAAAAATAATCATAATTAATTGACTAAAAAAAACTCTTATCGATGTCAATTTCACCACACCATTTCGGAGTCCAGAAGTTGAAGAGAGAATAAAAGATATATTTAAAAAATAAGATAATATATTTTTTAAATTATAATAAATAAAATATAAAATTTTCTAATTTAAAAAAAAAATCAAATTATTATCATAAATTTTTCAAATTTTATTTTATTTTTTTAAATTATCCAAGTAATATATGTTTTATTATAAAATATTTCAAACTGTTGGTAAAAATAAATTATGTTGTAAAAGTTGGATCCAAATATACTATAAAAGAATCTGCATGCATTCATAAGCAGCAGAAGCAATTACCTACCTCAATATAAAACTCTTATGCAAGTGGCTGGCTAGGTAGACAGCATGATTGCTGAATGGCATGTGATGCAGCCA